TACAAAATTATTGAATATGAGTAAAAGAGTTAGAAAATGGCAAAAAAAACAAATGAATAGTTGTGTGGACATAGAGCTAATTCTCTATTCTTTCAAGATTATATGTTCAACTTTTATATATTACAGATATAGATTGCATTCCTCTTATTTTCATCTTACTAATTATTACCATTTTTAATAAAATATGTCCATTCAGTAAATTATAACATCTTTATTCTTGATCAAAGATGTTACAAATCTACTTAAGTATCAACATTTGATCATAGGAACGTGATAAAGAAATGTCTCTCAAGTGTCTGTTACCGAGAATGTGAGATCTTTTATGCTAAGGTAGAGTTTGTGGAGATCAACAACACATGAAGAATCACATTTGGTACAAGACAATCTCAAATGGAAAGACATGAATCCAGAAGCTTGTGACAAATATAAAGCTTGTGGTGTCATACCAATAACTCAACAATAACAAACCATAATTGATCCAACATGCCTTAAAACTTTGTTGGCGCAAATTTGTTTGTGCAGTGGCGGGAGAATATATGTTTTCATGTTTTAAGTTTTGCCTCCTATAATAATTTTCATAACGATTATGTGTTATTAGATATATGATATGATTAAAAAAAATAATAATTAAAAATATATAAATGCGTACTGGTCATTACAGTGCACGATAGTTACTGTCAGCAAAGTAGCATCTTTGCTTTTCATTGGTGAATAAAATTACTTAAAAAAAAATTATCACAAAATATAATAAAAAGAAAAATTGTATTATTATTTATCGTGAATTTCTCCTAAATTTTTGATTTTCGATCGACAACAAAATCTCGAGTTTTTCGCCGGCAAATTCATTAGAGATGTGTGAATTAAAGAGTGTTGAATCAACTATACTTCATCAGAAACCCTAGTTTTAGTGTAGTATAGTTGCTAGATCCACAAATCTCTTAGGTGGTGTTATTCAATGATGGATTTTAATAGAATTGAAATCCAACACTAATCTAGTGTTATTCAACTAATGATTCTAAATCTAACTTTAAAATCTGGTGTTATTGGATTTTATATTTCATTAGATTGTAAAAGTTTGGTGTTATTCAACTAAGGGGGTGTTATTCAATCATGAAGTTAAAGTCAATTCTGTAAGGATTAGATTTGCTCTCTGATATTGTTTTTAAGAATATGTTTGTGTGGATTTCAAAATCTCTGCAGTATATCTTGGATTTTGATTATAATAATTTACTCATGAAACTTTAAAGAGGTTTCATTTCAAATGATTTAATATACAAAGATTTTACAAGTGTTTTAGTTTTGAATAACACTGGATTTTAATGAAGTATTTTAAATCTTAGTTGAATAATAGCAAACTTTTAAAATCTAATGAAGTATAAGATCCAATAACACCATATTTTAAAGTTAGATTTAGAATCATTAGTTGAATAACACTGGATTAGTGTTGGATTTTCAATTCTATTAAAATCCATCATTGAATAACACTACCTAAGATTTAAAATACTTCATTAAAATCCAGTGTTATTCAAAACTAAAAGACTTGTAAAATCTTTGTATATTAAATCATTTGAAATGAAACCTCTTTGGAATTTCATGAGTAAATTATTAGAATCAAAATCCAAGATATATTGTAGAGATTTTGAAATCCACAGAAACAGATTTTAAAAAACAATATCAGAAAGCAAATCTAAACTGAAAGAATTGACTTTAACTCCATGATTGAATAACACCCCCTTAGTGTTTAAGCTTGATCTGGTCTTAGCTCTGAAAGAAGAAATTGCAGCATTGTTACCATTTCTACGCAAAAACCCAGTAAGATCGCTTCTTTTATCTCTTTGTTTTTAAGATCAATTTGATTTAGGTTGCGAAATTAGCGAATCTTAAGTTAAGAGCTTTTAATGTAAATCTTATTGGAATGTTTTGGTTTTTGATTCTTTTGTTGAAGTTAATAGCTTATATTTGAGGATGTGCCTGTTTCAACTGAAATTTTGTCGGAAAGGAGAGATTTTTAAGCTATCTTTGACTTCAAAGATGATGCTTTTAGATACCCAAATCTACTTGAGGGGTTTTGTAATTCTGCTAGAGTTGGCCGTAAAGATTAATGTTTAAGTGGTAAATGTTTCTAAACTGGAGCTTAGAGAAGTGGGTTTTAAAGCTTGAGATTGATGTTCTTGATTTCGAGTAAAAGCTGTTTGTTATAATGTTGTGTTTTGAGCTCTTTGGTTAAGTATTGGGTTATGTTGTAGTGACTGAAGATTAATAATTCTACACTGGTGAATGTTTACAGATAATGGATAATTTTGTGAGATTTAGCTTGCCAGAACGGTCTTAGTTTCCTTTTGTAGAACTGTTGGTGGTGAATTGAGCTAATTCTACATGGAAGCATACAGAGAAGAGGCTCTTAAAGCGAAGCAGATCACTGAGAGAAGATTTGCAGAGAAGGATTTTTTAGGTGCAAGGAGTTATGCATTGAGGGCGAAATCGATGTTTCCAGACTTAGAGGGTTTATCTCAAATGCTCACGACGTATGAAGTTTATATAGCTTCTCAGAGTAGGCGCAATGGGGAAATGAAGAAACAGTACAAGAAGATGGATGTATTGCTCCATCCCGACAAGAACAAATGCCTTGGAGCTAACAGGGCGTTTCAGATTATTTCTGAAGCGTGGAGTTTCCTGTCAAGTGAGTTTAAGAAAACCACTTTTTATTACAAAAGAAAGAAACTTATCGACTCCATGGTGGTTCAGAAGAGTAGTACAGAGTATGCCCTCGGGCCCTGATATGAACCAAAGCCTTAGCCTTAGCTCTTGTTATTGGACCCGTTGCTTAAGCTTAAAGAACAAAGAGATTTAAAGCTAGCTTCCTCTTAACCCTAAGCTCTCTTGGAGATTAAGGTTAATTCTTGGAAGTTAAAGTTTTCGTTAGTATAAGACCCCTTATATAGGCCACGATGTATTCCTAATCATAATTCTAATGTAAAAAGGAAATCACTCAAACCTAATTTAAAAGGAAAAAGCCTCAAACATTTTAATGGAAAATCACCAAAAACACTAAAACTCTAATCACGTATCATTACTCCCCTCCTCGACTTGGAGCTTGTCCTCAAGCTTCATCCACAAAGTCATCCTTTTCGAATGGTTCGTCGTCCTGATCAGCCCCATCATTGACTAGCACAATTTGAAAAAGGGATGTTTTGCAAACATGCCCTCGTGTGAAGATTTCATCACAATTGAAGCATATACCTTTTGCTCGTCGCTCTGTCATCTCCGCGCTAGTCAATTTCCTCAAGAACCGTTGTGGAGGAGCTTGTTTCACTTCTGTTTGTTGAGGCAACAGAGCTTCCTCTTCTTTCCCACTTTGGCACCCACCAATTCCTGTCAACGTTGATCTAGTTAGCGGAACTGAATGTCGAGCTGACAGAGCCATATGTCCTCCAAACGTTCGTGTTCGCTTGTCACCATCGATCTTGTATTCATTATCTCGGGCAAGTTCCATAGCTTTAAAGATTGTTTCAGGACGTAGGTATTCAACTTCTTTTCGCAAATTATCAGTTAACCCGGCACAAAATTGCCATAGTTGCTGTTCTCCCGTTAACCTTGTTTGCCTGCCCAAACATTCTTCAAATCGATTACAATACTCATCCACTGTTCCCGTGTGTCGTAGATTACTTAGTTCCCCTACGGGGTTAACAGCATCTGCCCTCCCAAATCTACTCTTGCAGATTCTTTTAAACTCCTTCCACCCTAATTTATGTGTAATCAACCTTCGCAAATTAGCATTCCAATGGTAGGCTTGTCCTGTTAAAACAAACGTGGCTTGTCGTACTCTTGCGTCATCATTGAATACCCCTTGGTCTTCAAAGTAATCCTCACACTTCTGTAGCCATTCCACCGCATTAGATGCTCCGTCATACGGGGGAAATTCCATTCTAGATGTTTGCACCATCGTCTTGGCAGCCTCTGTTCCGCCGTTTTTTGAACCCTGAAATCTCTAGACGAGTTCCCTGGGATATCTTCTTCAGATCTTGCTCCAATTGGTCGAACTTGCCACTCTCCTCCCACATCAGTCAGGCGGTGACCACGTTCTTTTCCCACAGAGCGTTGAGTCCATGACCCTCCTGAGAAAACCCTTCCCTGCTCGCTTTTCAAACTTACGTTGCTTTGAGATGTTTCCTTGTTTAGTTTGCTCTTCGATACATATACTTCTTCTTGTTTTTCCTCTGTCACGTTCCCAGCCACAACTAGTGAAAGAGATTCAAATTTTTTTGTGATTTCTCCTCTTTCTATCGCTAAGCTCTCTCTGAGTTTTTCTTGTTCCTCACGAAGTTCTTCTATCATTGATTTAGTCTGCTCTCTCTCCTCTTGCTGGGCCACAACAATGGAATTCAGAGCTGCCTGTTGTGCCTCTGTTGTGGACGCCAAGGCATCTTGTTGCGTGGCAGTCCCCTCTTGAAGCTCTCCAATGTTTTTTCGCATCGGATCTAACATCTCATGGAGCTCTTTGATATCAGCTTTCAGCTCTTTCTTCATCGAGTTAAACGCTTCAAACAGTTTCGTGAGCTGCGATTGAATGGATTCTGGCTCTCCCATCGAATCGTGTGGCTCTGATACCAAATTGATATGAACCAAAGCCTTAGTCTTAGCTCTTGTTATTGGACCCGTTGCTTAAGCTTAAAGAACAAAGAGATTTAAAGCTAGCTTCCTCTTAACCCTAAGCTCTCTTAGAGATTAAGGTTAATTCTTGGAAGTTGAAGTTTTCATTAGTATAAGACCCCTTATATAGGCCACGACGTATTCCTAATCATAATTCTAATGTAAAAAGGAAATCACTCAAACCTAATTTAAAAGGAAAAAGCCTCAAACATTTTAATGGAAAATCACCAAAAACACTAAAACTCTAATCACGTATCAGGCCCCTAGGATTTGATTGTTGTCCACCAGCTACAGAAAGACGATACTTTCTGGACTGTATGCACATCTTGCAAAGTTCAATATGAGTATCTGCGGAAGTATGTGAATTAGAAGCTGTCATGTAAGAACTGCCAAGGAGCATTTATTGCTATGGAGACTGGGCCGACTCATGTTAGTGCATCAATTCAATATGAGCCTCCATCTCATACAACAAGTAATGGCTATGGAGCTCATGGCTATGATTTCGTCTCACGCATGCCTACCAATTCCACTTATTTCTTAGGTCAGTATCCTGCACATGGATATGAATATATTACAAATGAGTCATATGACTGGAGCTCATATGTGGGAACATCTCCTGGGAATCTGGAGTCAAACCGAATTTCTTCAGTATCTAACGGATATCCTAATAAGCTCACCAATGTAGTAGCCTGTAGGGGAAGAAAGAAGGTTAAAGAAGGCTCTAACAGGACAAGCTCGATGAAAGGCACAATATGTGATCTGATATATCCAAGCCCACCCATTTGGTCTGCTGATCCTTCTTCAGTGATTAAGGCCAGCAGACCTGAGAAGAAGAGGAATGTTGGTTTGGGGTCATCTGGTAATGGATTTGTTGAGAACATTACAAAATCTAATTTAGAATCAAAAGCAAAAAAATTGGATGCAAAAATGGAACATGAGTTTAAACATCCTGGGCAAAGTTATGGTTCAATGAGACGGTGGTCTTCTGCAACATGATTGGATACTCGGAAGCTATTGATTAACAAAGCTAAAACAGATATTAGAAGAGATTAAAGATTATGAGATTGGCTTCAGAGGCTGCGGCGGCGGCTACAGAGGACGCGACCCCCCTTGATGAAGTAAGTGCCTCCTCCAAGGAATGGGATGATGTATCAAGAATAGGACAAAATGTTTCCTCTGGTCATCCACCTATTCGGAAAATAAACGGGCCAATAACAGTTCCAAACTCTGACTTCCATGACTTTGACAAAAAGCAGATCAGGGGAGTGCTTTGAGGCTAGGCAAATATGGGTAATTTATGATGAAGATGATGGTATGCCACGCTTATATTGCATGGTTCGGGAAGTACTCTTTATTCAACCTTTTAAGATTGACATAGCCTACTTGAGCTCCAAAACTGACATCGAGTTTGGTACAATGAAATGGGTGCAGTACGGGTTTACAAAGTCGTGTGGACATTTCAGGATACGAAACACTGACATAGTTGATCATGTTAACATATTTTCCCATCTCTTGAAAAGCAAGAAGACGGGAAGAGGCGGTTGTGTCAGGATATTCCCCCAAACCGAAGATATTTGGGCTGTGTACAAGAACTGGTCACCAAACTGGAACAACTCAACTCCAGATGAAGTGAGGCACAAGTACGAAATGGTTGAGATACTTGATGAATATTCTGAACAGTTTGGGATACAATACCGTGTATTGCAGGAGAGATAAGGAGGAGAGCAAGAAATGGATACCGAGGAGAGAGATGTTGCGGTTTTCGCATCAAGTGCCATCTTGGTTTCTTAAAGAGGAAACTAGTGGTATGCCCGGAAACTGTTGGGACTTGGACCCAACTGCTATACTAGAAGAGTTGCTTCACAATGGAGCAAGAATTGATTGATTATCATTCACTGTCGCTACAAAAGACAAGAGTAAGAGCTTTACATTATCAATGTAACGGTTTTTGACTCAGTGTAGAAACCCAACTCTGTATCGAGAAGATTTGTGGATTATTATATCAGGAACTATATACACAGGCAAGCCTCTGTTTGTTCATTGGAGCTGTTGTATTAGCAATGTTGAAAAATCAAACATAGTCTGACTTGTTGTTTGTTTTACGATTCTATATCTCCTTCTTTCTATATTAACTTTTAGTATAAAATGTAGCCAATGTCATTCTACTTTTTACGTGTCACTTTTGGTTCAGAAAAGTTTGGATAATGCTACATTTGAGTTCCTTTGGTTTCACCAGTTGGATTGCAAAGATATTTGTTTCAGATGAAGCAGAACTTTTATGTGACAACTAATATCGTTTCTCGGTTATGTTAACCCGGTAAAAGTTTAAGACAAAGAAAGGAACATAGCCCAAGAAAGGTGAAATCATGTGTTCAAAGTATTTAAAATCTTATCATATAAAACATGGCTTTAAAATTTTAATGTTAGTAACTTGCATGATTGTAAATTTGTAATAAGTGTCATGTTTATCGATTAGATTTTGACACTATAAGAAAAAAAATTATATAATAAATTACAAATCTTAAAAGTTAAAAAATTATATTTAAAATTTTTCTGAAAAGATGTATATAAAATATACAAATTAAAAGAAGATTATACAACAAATTTCCTAAAACTAAAAAAGATCACAGTTACTTTAAAAAAAAAAAGGTAAATAAAAATAATATAGTAAATTACTAATTGTAAAATAAAAAAAAATGAATTATTAACATTACTATAAAAATGGTTTATTTATTTGAGTTTCTTTTTTTTCAGTTAGGAATAAACGAGATCAATAGATGTTTTTTTTTTTCCTTCTTGTAATATTTTTGACTTAATTTTGTATTCTTTAGTTGTTGTCAATTATAATTGTAGCATTTTAGATTGTCTATTTTAATTTCCCCATTCATTGTTGAATTATCGAAGATTTCTATATCATCGTGTTTATATTTTTTTAATTTTTTTTTATTAATTTAACTTTTGTATCTTTAGATTATTTATTTTGATTTCTAAATTCAGTTTTAAATTAAATAAGATTTATCATATATCTTTGTGCTAATAATTATATTGTGACATGTGTCATGATTTAATGTAGAAATATATGATGATTTTAAATAAATGTTTATATTGTTTATTGGAATTTTCTTTTTGAGTTAGAAATATGTAGTTCAATTTAATTGTAGTAATTTAATATGCATCATTATTCACCATTTATTTGAGGTTGATTATCAAATTAGTGGAAAATCGTTGAAGAAGAGATAAGAAAACAAGGATTGAGATTGTACCAATTATACCCATTAGGCTACATGAATACAACCAAAACTCCATCGATGAGGCAACAAAGATGACAAAAACACTTAGCCAGAAGAAAATTTGAAGTTTAGGCTCCACTAGTCTTGCTGTTACAATGGCGTTCATTGTGTTTGATATGGCGCCAAAAAATTCACGATCACATTCAAAAATTTCATCGTTTTGTCTTCATTAAAGAGAAACACAAAGACAAGTAACAAACTGAGAACGCCTAACAAAACGAGTAACACGGAGGAGAAGATGAGGATAGACATTGTTGAAACAAAAGAAACGTAAAATGACTAAACAAACACTAGTTTCAACATCACGAGGCCAACGAAAATCATTTAACAAATACAATAAGCTCATTTTGATTCTTTTTTTTTCACGGCTTCACATAAGGTTCAATCATCTTGAATCATCAAAGTCCGTCTAAGAAGTAAAATCCGTAAATCCCAAACCGAATAATATTCTAGATCTTCATATTGCTATTTGTTTTTTTTATAGAGAATAGTCTCAAGGTATTATTTATTTTGTTTTAAAGTCTAAAATATTGGTGAGATAAAAAATGATAGACAATATTTTTGTTAAAGATAATTAATTGTCAATTGTGACTACATATTAAACAACTAAATAATATATAGGAATGGAAAGAATAATAATATGAAAGTAGTCCAAAAATACAAAAAAAAAATCGATTAAATGAAAAATAAACAGGTGTAGAGTTTAAAGGGAACAACATAACTTGAAATTTTGAAGTCAAACCAGAATTTTTCAAACCAAATATTCCATCCAACTATAACCAAATAGGCATGCTTCACGCAAACACAATATAATAAAAATTATAAGGTCATCTTTGTTGGTTATCTTGAGACCATCGGAAGATCACTTCAACATATATTTTTGGTCAATTACATATGTATTATATCGAGCTTAAATTTGGATGAGAACACAATAACGATTCCATTACAAACAATTTGACAAAAAAAATCAACTTTATTTTCTTCAGTTCATTGAATTTATGCACATATACAAAAATCCTAGTTTTCTAACTTGATTTATTTTCACAAGTCAAATAAATTTCTTAAAAAGAATTCTTACAAAAATAGATCAGAAATTGTGAATCATAAATAATAAATATGGTTGGAAGACAAAGATACATAAATTGATAAAAGAAATAAGATGCATATAGAATCAATACCCACTTCTCGTAAAACCCACTCATCGTTATATAGATAAGACTTAAGAGTAGATGTTAAACTATAGGGTCTAACAAAAAAATTTAAAAATACTAAAAAGAACAAACAAAAAACAAATAACAATGAGTAGGTTTTAGGAGAAGGAGGGATTGATTCTTGGTATAGTTGAGTTTATTTATATTTTCATTAGCCAATCCTTTTTAATATTTAACTGAAAATGTTGTAATACCTTCCCCACCTAGATGATGAGATAATCATGGACCCAAAAACCTCAATTTTAAAAATGTTTATTCACCAAAAGACAAGAAAAATAATAATAATCAAAAGTAGAGTAAAAGAAGAGAGAAGTGACATTCTTTTTCTTTTTTTAGCTTTTGCTCATAATTTCTAACAAATGCACTTCTTTTATCCAAAGTCTGATCATTGAGTCCAGTTGGGTAATGAGAGACACCAGCTGGGTCTTTTCTTTAAGCTCTTTCTTCACATATAACATCAGAAATAAGAAGAAACAGAGAAAGCTTTGTCATTTTTACCCTGAAACCATGAAAGAAGATAAAGCTTTGTCCTTTTTCTCTTTTCCATTTCTTTACTCTGAACAATGTCTTCTTTCTCTCATTGCAACAACCACTGGGTTTGGTTCATCTTGTCGTCTTGCGTCTTAAGTAAGAAAAAAAGAAAGAAAAAGCTTTGCTTTTGGGACTATGTCACAGCTTCTTCTTCTTGGGGTTGTTTCAAGAACTCAACTTTTACATCATGAGATTGTTGTTCTGTTGATAGAGTTTTAGTTTTGGGTTTGGAGAGATCTGAATTTCTTCAGCTGAATCTGAGATTAAGGGTCGACCATGTCTATAACTTGTGAACTCTCAAATCTTACTTCAAAGAAAGCAAAGGAGTCGAGGAGTGGCAAGAAGTGGCTAAAGAAGCCTCTCTTGTTCCTGATTTTGTGTGGCTCTTTGGTAATTGTTCTTGTTATGTTCTCATGGTTTGGTAGAAGTCAGAAGGAGGAGACAAGTTCTTGTAATGGAGAAGCTAAAGTGTTGTATAGACATCAAAACGTCACAAGAAGTGAGATTCATGATTTGGTCTCTTTGTTCTCTGATTCAGATCAGGTAATAACCTGAATTGACTTTGTTTTTTTTGTTGAATTGAGCTTTTGAATACGCACTAGATTTGCCTTAAAGTGTAACACTTTACTATCAATTACCATTCTCTGCATCTGTTGGCAGGTATTATCCTTTGAATGTAGTAAGGAATCAAGACCTGGAATGTGGGGAAATTATGGTATTACATGTTCCCTGAATATGCGGTCGGAGAAACAGGAGACCAGATGGATTCCCTGGAATCTTAATCCATCAGGCTTAGCACATTCTATCTCATCAACTTCTTGTATATGTGATAATCTTGAACCGGTAAGATAACATTCGATTCGAGCACTTGTGAAGATATGCCTTCAAATTTGGTGTCTAGTTCTCACAAAAGTTTATGTTGAATGTGTTTTGGTTATGGGTAGAGTTTACAACAACCGGAAAAATCCGAAAACCTTGAGGAAGAGCTGGAGCAGGGGTTGTCAACTTATTTAAGAAATGCATGGTGGTGGTGTCTAATCCTTGGTGTATTAGTGTGCCATAAGATTTATGTATTTCATTCTAAAGCACCAGCTGAGAGGAAAGAAAAAGTACAACTACAAGAGCCTTTAGCTCAAAAGAAGCAGCAACAACGTGCTCAGACTTCTTCTAAAGGGGCTGGAAAATGGAGGAAGAACATCCTTCTCCTTGGTATTTTAGGAGGAGTTTCCTTCTCCGTTTGGTGGTTTTGGGACACCAATGAGGAGATCATAATGAAAAGGAGGGAGACTTTAGCTAACATGTGTGATGAACGAGCCCGCGTGTTACAAGATCAGTTCAATGTTAGCTTGAACCATGTTCATGCTTTGTCTATTCTTGTATCTACATTTCATCATGGGAAAACCCCATCTGCCATTGATCAGGTGATTTTTTTTTCTTTCTGCTAATACATTTTGTATCTCAAGATTATGTTTAAATCATCAACTTCTGTTACATTTTACAGAAAACATTTGAAGAATATACTGAGAGAACAAACTTTGAGAGGCCTCTTACTAGTGGTGTAGCGTATGCTTTGAAAGTCCCACACTCAGAAAGAGAGAAATTTGAAAAGGAGCATGGATGGACAATAAAGAAAATGGAAACTGAGGACCAGACAGTTGTTCAAGATTGTGTTCCTGAAAATTTTGATCCAGCACCTATACAAGACGAATACGCACCAGTTATATTTGCTCAAGAAACTGTTTCCCATATTGTATCGGTTGACATGATGTCTGGAGAAGTCAGTAACGTTTTAAACTTTCTTTTTGCCTATTGCCGAACCAGTGAGCTAAAAGAGAATTCAAAAGTCTGAATATTTTGCAGGAAGACCGTGAAAACATTTTGCGGGCAAGAGCATCAGGAAAAGGAGTATTGACATCTCCATTTAAGCTTCTTAAGTCAAATCATCTTGGCGTCGTGTTGACCTTTGCTGTGTATGACACGAGCCTACCTCCCGATGCTACAGAAGAACAGCGTGTTGAAGCAACTATTGGGTACTGCTTTTACTTTTAAAATAAATGGTTGTGCTGATTACTATGATTCTAGGAATGAATATTGAATCTATGTATCAAAGAATGATATTTTTATTTTGTAGTATGTTCTCTGTACAAGAAAATCTTAATAAGACACACCTAAAACAGGTACCTTGGTGCATCATATGATATGCCATCGCTGGTGGAGAAACTTCTTCACCAACTTGCCAGCAAACAGACGATTGCTGTGGATGTTTACGACACAACTAACACCTCAGGTCTAATAAAAATGTATGGCTCAGAAATTGGGGATATAAGTGAGCAGCACATAAGTAGCCTTGATTTTGGTGATCCATCAAGGAATCATGAGATGCACTGCAGGTTAGCTCCAACTCTAATGGTATTTTTGTAAGAAATGTTTCACTCCTCACTTTTCTGAAATATGAAAATGTTATTATTTTATACAGGTTTAAGCATAAACTTCCCATTCCTTGGACCGCGATAACAACGTCGATCTTAGTTCTGGTTATTACTTTTCTTGTTGGTTATATTTTCAATGAAGCCATCAATCGAATTGCAACAGTTGAAGAGGACTGTCAGAAGATGAGGGAACTCAAAGCTCGTGCTGAGGCCGCTGACGTTGCAAAGTCACAGGTAAATTTTGTGAATCATATAGTCTCAAAAGCTTGATGAAACCTTCTTTGTTTTGTTAACAAGAGTTGTTCTGTTACTGAAATGCTTCCTTTTTTTAATCACTGAATTGCTTCTTATTTTGCAGTTCCTAGCAACTGTTTCTCATGAGATACGGACTCCGATGAATGGAGTTTTAGGTACTTTTTCTACTGATCCTTTCTCAATATTGCATGTTTTCTGGTAAATCAGCTGAAAAGTTTTAAGCATGTTGTTACAGGAATGCTGAAAATGCTGATGGACACCGATCTTGATGCGAAGCAGATGGACTATGCACAAACTGCTCATGGCAGTGGGAAGGATCTTACATCACTAATAAATGAGGTTCTTGATCAGGCAAAGATTGAATCAGGAAGGCTCGAGCTTGAAAATGTGCCTTTTGATATGCGCTTTATTCTGGACAATGTTTCATCTCTCCTCTCTGGCAAAGCAAATGAAAAAGGAATTGAGGTATAATATATAAACTGCATGACCTTCCGCTTCTGTTTTCCTATGGCAAACAAAATTTCATATCTACTGAAATGTCGGTTTCTTGTCACAGTTGGCCGTTTATGTTTCTAGTCAAGTTCCTGATGTTGTAGTCGGTGATCCGAGTCGGTTCCGGCAGATAATTACAAACCTGGTTGGAAACTCAATCAAGGTAATTTACTGTTTACTTCGTACTAAACAAGATGCTTCTCTAATCTCTACTATTATAGTACTCATTCGTTCTTTCCTTAATAACAGTTCACACAAGAAAGGGGACACATATTTATCTCAGTGCACCTTGCAGATGAGGTAAGGGAGCCTCTTATTATTGAAGATGCAGTGCTAAAGCAGCGACTAGCTTTAGGATGCAGTGAGTCCGGTGAGACAGTTAGCGGGTTTCCTGCTGTAAATGCATGGGGAAGCTGGAAGAATTTCAAGACATGTTACAGTACTGAGAATCATAATTCTGATAAAATCAAATTGCTAGTTACAGTGGAGGATACTGGAGTGGGCATACCTGTGGATGCACAAGGCCGCATATTCACTCCTTTTATGCAAGCCGACAGTTCCACATCGCGGACTTATGGTGGAACCGGCATAGGTTTGAGCATAAGCAAGCGTTTGGTTGAACTCATGCAAGGAGAGATGGGGTTTGTGAGTGAGCCCGGGATAGGCAGTACTTTTTCATTTACTGTAGTTTTCGGGAAAGCAGAAACAAATACGTCGATTACTAAGTTGGAACGATTCGATCTAGCTATTCAGGAGTTTCAAGGATTGAGAGCATTAGTTATTGATAACAGAAACATTAGAGCAGAGGTGACCAGCTACCATCTTCGGAGACTGGGAATATCTGCAGACATTGTTTCAAGTCTTAGAATGGCATGCACCTCTGTCAGGTACTTTACATACATTAGTGTTGTTTTTCTTTACTCTTCCAACTGTACTACTGTTACTGTCCTTGCATTCCAAGGTTTGGTAGAGTAGCATTTCTAGAGATTACACTGAAAGCATTCTATTTTTTTTTTTCTGGAATCTTTGCAGCAAATTAGAAAATTTGGCTATGGTTCTAATCGACAAAGACGCCTGGAACAAGAAAGACTTTTCAGTACTTGACGAGTTGTTTACCCGTAGCAAAGTAACCTTTACAAGAGTCCCAAAGATTTTTCTTTTGGCAACTTCTGCAACTCTTACTGAGCGCAGTGAGATGAAGTCCTCTGGTCTCATCGATGAGGTGGTAATAAAGCCTCTTCGGATGAGTGTCTTAATATGTTGCTTGCAAGAAACCCTTGTCAGTGGCAAGAAGAGGCAACCAAACAGAAAGCGAAGAAATCTTGGACACTTACTCAGAGAAAAACAGATTCTGGTTGTGGACGATAATCTTGTGAACAGACGAGTTGCCGAAGGTGCACTTAAGAAATATGGAGCTATTGTTACATGCGTTGAGAGTGGCAAGGCTGCATTGGAAATGCTTAAGCCGCCTCACAACTTCGATGCTTGCTTCATGGATCTCCAAATGCCTGAAATGGATGGGTAACTAACTATTTTTCAATCTTATCTCTTCAGCTTGTTCATTTCTTGGATGTGGTCTCTGGTAATTTTATGATTTTTGCGCAGATTTGAAGCAACGAGGAGAGTCCGTGATCTGGAGAGGGAAATCAATAAGAAAATAGCTTCTGGAGAAGATTCTGCTGAAATGTTCTGTAAATTTAGTAGTTGGCATGTCCCGATATTAGCAATGACAGCTGATGTTATTCAGGCTACTCACGAAGAATGCATGAAATGTGGCATGGATGGTTATGTATCAAAACCGTTTGAAGAGGAAGTGCTCTACACAGCGGTAGCAAGATTCTTTGAACCCTGTTAAAAGAAAGCCTAAAAAACGCCACTGCCCTTGTAGGATAATATATATCAACCTGAGAGCTTTTTGACGTCGGGTAGTATATCTTGAACATCCATGACCTGCAATTCAACTTGAGATCAAGGAAAGAACCAGTCCATTATCCATTGTTCTTCACAGGTCTCGTTCGCTTTAAGACCTTGCCTGGTCGAGTGAGAAAAAAGACTGCGAAAACCGCAATCTTTCTCTTTGTATAGACAGTTTGTCGTCTTTGATCTCTGCCTGTGTGTATAGTAGATTTCTAGTGTATAGCTCCATTATATTCATTCATATATATAAACCCAAAATCTCTCCTCTTAACTTTAAAACAGCTTGTATGTTGTGTAGTAATAGTAATGGCTCTTGATTACATGATAGGAAGCGTATATATGACTGTTCTGAAAAGCTTCCAGAAGCAGAACAAAATCTTCCTCAAAACCAGTGAATTGCAGATCTAGCACATGATTGCATCTGAAGCAAACCAAGATTCCCTAGTCATAGATCTTGAACTTTTGGACTAATGATTCTTTCTAACTAGTATAAAGGGTGTCAAGTTGCACTCATTTCCTTAGTTCTCAAACTTCCTAACTAGATTAGATCTGGATCTCTCTACACCACTCATTTCCTTCTTGGGAAACATGTCAACTTTCTTGATAAGGATACTTCTTCCTTTGCTTGTTATAGCAATGACTATTCCTCAATGGTCAGGTAAGAATATCACCGCAATGTTCACACTATATGTCCTTTTATGGCCTTATGCAGATGTATATGCGTGTATGTATAAACAGAGGCAGAGTCGGAACAATGGTGCATAGCGGATGAACAAACGCCAGATGATGAGTTGCAGGCAGCCTTAAACTGGGCTTGCGGGAAAGGCGGAGCAGACTGCAGCAAAATGCAGCAGGAAAACCAGCCTTGCTTCTTGCCCAACACAATCAGGGATCATGCCTCCTTTGCTTTTAACAGTTATTACCAAAATTATAAACACAAAGGTGGTTCTTGTTACTTCAAAGGAGCTGCCATGATCACTGAGCTTGACCCCAGTAAGCTTTCTCTCTATCTCTCTCCCTTGAATCTTAGCAGATAGTGAACCATCTGTATCTGATCCAGATATGATTGTCACAGGTCATGGTTCTTGCCACTATGAGTATAACCCTTGATTCCAATGAGACAGCCAAGACGAGATACAACAAGATGAAAAACTATGATTTTGCATTTATACATTTTCTCTATGTAATGTTTTCTTTCCAAAGTAGTATCCATGTACTATGCTTCATTGGGAAACTGTTCTCCCATTACTCTTCAATCTGAGATACAACAACCTGTTTTCTACTGTGCATTGAGATTTTCTAAAGTATCAAAGATACATCAATCTGGTACTATTGCTCGATAGACTCATTCCAGTTTTGTTTAGAGTACGTTGTCCTCACACAGTGCTACCAGATAACATTGGTCTCATTCTGTTCATGGAAGTGAAAGAACAACTCCATGAATGTAATGGAAATACATACTTGGATCAAGTCATATACAGTATAGGTGCTATCACTATCGATATACTACAGAGATCCATCAACGTTTTCTTACAAGTTCTCCTATTATTCCAACCCACCTAATGTAGGTGGCTTATATGATAATGTGGTAACTACACTATTACATTAAATACTACCTAAATTGGTGCGGCCGGACCAACTAACTATTTTGCCTGCCTTGTACTAATTTATATTAATCAGCCTTGAACCTGCAATGGAATGTTTAGCTTTGTACAGGCTCTGTTCTCGCCACATTCTCCTGAAAAGCAAGGCTTTTATGTTCTGATTGTGTTCCCGGCATGTCCTGATTGGCAGCTCGGTCTACCTATTATTTGCTCCAAAGATCTAGCATCAGTTTGGCTGTGTGCACTTGTAGTAGCTCCGTGTCAGTTCATTTCCTTTAACAAGTTTCTGCCCATATATACGCCAATTGTACCCATCTTGCATTACATTCTCACGGATAAAAGGGTTGTTCCCTTCTGAACCAGACTGCCAAGATAAGCCAGTACTTTCAAGACTTGTTAATGCTTTTTCTGATACCTCTACATCAGGCACCGTTTGGAGCTCCTTGCAGTCTGTGGATTTGAGAATCTCTTCTTGATGTTGCTCGCTTTGACAAACCTCATTGATGATTTTCTTTGAGTCACAGTTTTTAGTACCCGTTCCAGTGGTCGGTCCAGCCTCTACGTTATCAGTGACAGCATCACCTTGTAAAAAAAAAAACCTTTTTCAGACGAACCCAAATCACAGAAACCTAGAATCAGAAGCTAACACATTCGAAATCATAAGAAAATTGGTAACTTGCTTCCATTTCCAGGTACGAAAGTAAAAGGATTAGTACTCGAACAATTTGGATCCTACACAACAGATGGTCGGAGTTGGAACGGCACTGATGTCTGGAGGAGTTAGAAAACGTGTACTGAGAGAGAAGTGATTAAGCTACGCGGCGCACTGAGGCAATATTGTATGTAGCTAGGCCAAGTCCAATAATAAAATCGATCTCAATTTGATATTTACATTTTTAAAAAGTTAATTAGAAAATTTTCATTGGTAAATTTTTTTACTATAGAAATTGTATAATTTAAATTTGAGTGGTAGAGGATAACCCACAAAAAAAAAAAAAAATCTAATTTCATAATATTAAAACCTAAAAAGATGAGTATATTTCTTTAATTTAAATAAAAAATTAAAGATAGATGAATCAATATATTATTAATTGGAGTATATATATATTTTTTGATCTAAATCTTTTCTATTGGCTTTGAATGGTAAACCCATTATCAAAGCGGTACAACGTCAAAATGGACTGTCCAAGTCCATTAGCCCGGTCCAATATTGACCATTTTAGTTATGGACAAATAGTGACCATGTTCATTAACGATCATGTCCATTAACAACCATGTCCATTAACGCTCATGTCCAAATGGGCTGTCCATTGGTCACCATTAGAACATTACGTTTTTCAAAAAAAACCCTAAATCGCAAATGTTCTCACCTGAATGAAAGAAGTTGATGAGATTGATGTGTTGAAGCCATGGAGACAAGAGATATGCGAAGAAATCGCCGGAGAAATCTCTGATTTCGATTTTAAGAAACTTAGTAAATGACTAAATGAGTTTTGATTTTTCTCCAAATTGATTTGACCTAACATTTTGAGTGTATTGGGCCGCCCATGTCAATGACGTTCAGTCCATTAACGACCATATCCATTAAAAAACCATGCCCATTAACGCCCATGTTAAAATGAGCTTGTCCATGACCGGTCCATTAGGTGTTGGACATGGATAGCCTATGGACGGCCCGCCCATTTTGACAGCTCTAGATTCAGAGAACTAGAACAATTCAACCTTGCACTACTTGAAAAACAGATTTGGAGAATATTACAACATCCAAGTTGCTTTATGGCAAGAGTACTCAAAGGAAGATATTTTCCTGAGACAAACGTGTTGAATGCTATGCAAGGCAAGAAAGCATCTTATCATTGGAAATCGATTCTGCAAGGAAGGGATTTACTTAAGCAAGGCCTCAAATTTTGTATAGGAGATGGATCTGTCACAAACGTCTGGCTGGATCCATGGTTGCCAATTCATCCTCCAAGGACTCCGAGAAAACGATCAGAAGTAGTGGGTCCGATGATGGTAAATGATCTCCTAAATAACACTAAGTCAAATTGGAATATTGGCAAGGTTAATGAATGGATAGACCTGAAAGGTATAGAGGGTACACAACACAATGATTTCGCTCTGAACGCACCAAGCCAACGCTTTTCTATTTATTCTTATTGATAATAAATTTTTTACAAGGATTCTATTATCTCGGTAGTTACTTGATCTATTCTACCCGAATAATCAAACCCGACTAAGAACAAATCTAAGTCTGTTTCTTATCACTCACTCGTGAAGACAAAGAGAATTACAAACATTCACCTTCTAAGCTTTTGCTAGGCTTTGAAGATAACACACGTATATCAATATTCTAGAGTGCTTAAGCGGCTCATGGCCAACTCCCAGAATATTTATAGTATTCTCCAAAACCCTAATCTCTAGGATCTCCGAGAATCAATGAGCAGAATCTTTCTTGATCTTCAAGCTTATCCCTGTCCTTATTTGTTGAGAAAAATATTCACCAAATCTTCTCAACGACTTTCTTCCTTTATATCCACACCAAGTCACCAAGGCTCCTTGGCATGTCACATCAACCACTCTAGCTCTGTCATGTCAGCTCACGCGTCCATGTGAACAACTCAGACGTTTAATGTACATTTGATGCAGCTTCCTATTGTCCAACAGCTCCCTGATATGATATCCATCAGCTCGTTGTTGTCAGAATCTGCATCTTCTATCTCCCCCTTTTTGACTCAGTTTGATACTCAAGCAATCTCCTTGATAAAACCTGAAAGTCAAACAGAAGGAAACCCAAACACAACAACAAGACAATATCTAGAAAGGTTTCTAACATAGATATCAAAATAAGATTCATCAAAACAGCTTTGTTTCACATTATTACAGAACCAAGTTTTTCAGATGATAGAAATCATCAGTTCAAAAAGAACACAAAAACAAAAGAATGGTCTGAAATAAAACGAGCTTGTTAAAAACTTAAGGTTAAAAACACATCAAGCTCCCCCCCACAAATCAATCTCCTCCATCATCAGTAGAATCAAACACATCTCCCCCTGCTTGAGTACATAACTCAGTCAAAAACAACAAAAACAACGGTTGTAGAGACATGGTTATTATATGAAAAAGAAAGACTTACCTGCATCTAATGCAGCCTGCAAAACTGCAATGGTCGGCTTAATTGCTCTACGATATATGGAACACTCAGCATGCACTTCCTAAGTTGATGCCTTCTTTGCTGTCTTCTTCTAAGTTTGGGCTCTGGACACTGGCTTCTCAATATCAAACTTCACAGGATGTTGCGACTGAAGAAGCTGAAACACAAGATTCGAGAAAGGCAGGAAGAACTTCGATTCATGCATATGTTCAAAGACCAGTTTCCCGAAATCAAATGGCATCTTGTGTGCGACCATGTACACAAGTCGAGCTTTGTCTGGCTGTGCATACCCATCAAACGCTTTACAGAGCGATTTCTCAAATCACCTAATATAATATTTTCATTTGACGGAAAAAAATACGATTGAGGAATATATGGGTAGGATACGATTTTAATACACAAAACCGACATGAGATAAATCTTTTTAGAAGTTAAACCGGCAAAAAACAAATATATTCCCAAAAACTAAACCCAAACGAGAGAAGCTATATAAAGATAATGACTTAATCAGGGTCAAAACAACAGAAGACGAAACAAAAGACATAACTAAAAATAACCCCTTTTTCTCTAAAGTTTCTAGTCCGAGCAAAGAGAGATTATAAATTTGCTATGAAATTATTGTTGCAATCATTGCAAATTAGTAAATGATATTTAATGTCATAATGTATTAAAAAGAAAAAAGTAATGTAAGTTGAGTGTCACATTATGTAGCAATTACCATTGATGTGGCAAATATTAGTTTGAGAGAATTTCAAAAATAGTATCTTTTTTTTATAAATTTGTATTCAATCAAAAATTTGTTTTACACTATATGCAACTTTTGCAAAAGTTTTAGAATAAGAATATAGAGAATGAATTGAATTTTAACTTATCTAATCGAAGTTTATTCCCGCAATCCAAAGTCCAAACCAAAAACGAAGGTCATCTTTGTACTTCAATGATCCATGTTTTTTTAGTGTGCAGAGCCTATTCTGAACAACTCGATCAATGAATTTAATGATAGTCTCAGCCAAGTTTGGTAGCTCACTGTGATGACAGCGATTGCGCTCTCTCTAGATTGAGTAAATTAAAATTTGTAAAACGTAGCGTAATATGAAGCGATTTGTGTATTGTAAAATCTGAACCTGGGTTAGAGAATATCTTAGAACATAGATATGTATCGATGGAGAAGGAGACGTCAAGTTAACACTCTCGAAACCCTGTTTTAAATAATATTTTTACAATATATTTTTTTCAAAAATGCTTCTATACGTCGTTCATTTTTAGTTATACCCCTTCTATAAAGTTTTATAAAAAATTTAAAAGATTTTATAACATTCTTAGAAGGTTTTCAAAAGTTTATAAAAATGATTTAGGAATCCAACCATCGTAATTGATCATAGACATTACGAAAATTCATCAACGTGAAACCAAACAGATTTTGTTACGAATGAAATATAAATTCTTATGCCGAACCGAATATGAGTTTAGATTAATAATGGTTTATTCGGTTCGATCACACAAATTTACTAACGTGAAACCAAACCAAATTTTACAATACTAAGAAAAGTAAATGAATTTTCACATCAAAATATTTTCATTGGCCGAACTAAATAAGATTTACTAACAGTTAATATTTCTATATATATATCACGATATATTAAAAATATAATATAAATTATATTTAACTATATTTTTATCTAAAACCTGAAAACTCGAACAAAAAAAGAAAATCAAATGTGTTATCCTATAAATTTTTGTAGTTTATATAACATAACTTCTAATGGTAACAAAAATAATTTGCCTAATCTCAACTAAATTGTGAATGAATTTTTATAGCTCAAAAACCTTAATTTTAGAAAGAAAAAATTTGCAAACTCGAATTTGAAGAAAATAATCATAAATTAAATTGTTTATTACTGTTTAATATAACGATTTAAAAAAATTAAGTTGAATTTATTAATATTAGGGTTTATTTTACCACTTATAAAAAGGTGAGGGTTTAAAAACCCACAAAAAAAGTTGAAGATTTTTTACATGTTTTTAGCAAATGTAAGGGTTTTTCTACCCATTTTTCCTAAAACAACATTTTAAAAAAGATTTATTTAAAATAGACAATATAAATTGTTGGCAAAAACGCAAAATTTGTTTTTCCGCCTAAAAACAAAAGTAAATACTAGTGTTTGTAGAGAAAAATCAGCTCCCCTTTTTTGGGCTTAAGACCTTCTTTTTCTATTAGAGTCTCTCACTTTAAAGGAAATAGAACTTTAAGACTGGATTATACCTTTTCCCTTAGACCAAAACTCAGCGTTTCCTCTTGTTTTAACCCTTTTCTTGCCATTCCCAGAAAGCGGCTAGGGTTTCTGCATCAAGTTCATAGTGTTCTTCGTTTCAAGTCGAGATCCACTCGGGCCGAGCTGTTTCTGTCGGGTTTCAAGTTGGTTTCTCCGTTTATTCTCGTATCAAGTGTCTCTACATCATTCGGCGGGTCGGTTTGGAGATTTTTGTGTAGTGAACAAGGTTGTCGGAGGCAGAATTCCAAGGTCTCGAAGTCAGTTGTTGTTAGTTTGTGAGATGTCTGCTGCTATGGATAAGGCCTTGATGGCCATGTCTTTGGAAGAAGAGGAAGTTCCCTTTGAAATGCCAAATCTTCCTCAGTACAACTCGTGTGAAAGAAATGTTCTAAGTCTGGTTGGGCGTCTTCTCAATCCGGATAACCAAAGCATGTCGAATTTGATCCTCAACATGCCGAGGAAGTGGCAAAAGATTGGCAGAGTGCGTGGTATTGCTTTGTCGAATGAAAGATTTCAGTTCATTTTTCGTTATGAGCATGATTTGGTGGAAATTCTAGAGAAAGGTGTTCACACCTTTAATGAATGGGCGATAGCTGTTGAAAGATGGACAGAGAATCCCTCCCCGGAGTCGCTGCAGTTCTTAGAGCTTTGGGTTCAGATTCGTAACATTCCGATTAATCATTATACGGAGCAATCGATTACTTTGCTAGGTGACCTTGTGGGTCAAGTGATTGAAGCGGTGGTGGTGCCGGATAAGCCTCAGAATCAAGATTTCGTTCGGGTCAAAATCAAATTTGATGTCTCTAGACCCTTGAGGAAATCTAAGGTGGTGAATCTTCCTGGTGGGAAGTCTACAGTGGTAACTTATCATTATGAAAGGTTACAGAAAAGATGCTACCATTGTCAAAGACTTACACATGAGAAAGATTTTTGTCCAGTTCTGATTAAACAAAGATTAGACCTAACCATTGAGAGGAAGCTTGGGAAGAAGATTGAGAAGCCTAAACCAAGTCTGGTCATAAAGGATTCTGATCCTTTGTTTGGGGTGTTGTCGGAAGATCAAGTCGGGATCCACCCTCTTCTTGGTAGACCGAGAATTGCTCCTGATGTTTTGGAGGGTATGCGTCAATATCTTTTGATGGGGAATGGAGAGGATAGGAAGATTAGAGAAGCGAGAGTGAAGTCATCAGTTGCGGAGACAGAGAAGGATCCCTTCCTTCAAAAAACTGTTCTCCGGATGGAGCCTCCTCCCATCATCTCTAATGATATCAATAGAGGTAAAGGGATTGTGTTTGGGTATGACTCTTCTGATTCCTCCTCTAGATCTTTGAATTTAGCCCAGCCAGTGGAGAGTCCTTCTCTTACAACTCTTGAGAATCAGAACAGTGACATCATCATTCCCTGGGGGGGAACTCCTGGCTTGGTTGATATGGATACTCAGGTGCGTCTTTTCTCGCTTCCTATTAATTCTGGTCCGACGGTTTTCAGTACTGGCTTATCAGAAGCTGGTTCTTCCGGGACTAGGATTAAGAAGCTAACTCCGAGGAAAAGACCGACAAAGAATCAGAGGAAAGCAAAAAGTGTTGTCAGTGGTAGTGAGGCAGCTTTGGTTGTGAAGAATACAGGGCTAGATCAAGGAATGGTGGAAAAAAAAAAGAAAGGCAGGAAAGGGTATTTTGGTTGAAGCAAAAGATGCAAGGCTCAGCAAAAAAAAGGTAGTCCCAAATGAGGGACTGTCCCATATCTAATGAGCATTCTGAGTTGGAATTGCCAGGGTTTGGGGCGGCCTCAAGACCTGACGATTCCTCGTCTCATGGAAATGCGCAAAAAGCATTTTCCGGAGATCTTGTTTCTAATGGAGACTATGAATGTGAGAGACGTCATTGTAGATATTCAGGAATGGCTAGGGTATGATAAGGTATATACTGTGGACCCGGTTGGCAAGTGTGGTGGGCTTGCTCTGTTTTGGAAGAAAAGTGTTTCGGTGGAAGTTCTATATGCAGATAAAAATATTTTGGATCTGCAGGTGGAGTATGGTGTCTCCAGGCTTTTGGTATCTTGTATATATGGGAATCCAAGTAGTGATCTTAGGCATCTTGTTTGGGAAAGACTATCGAGGATAGGCTCCCAAAGGAAGGAAGGATGGTGCTTGGTAGGAGATTTTAATGAGATTCTTCACAATGGTGAAAAGTTGGGTGGACCTAGAAGGAGTGAGGCATCTTTTGTTGATTTCTCAGTTATGCTTAAGACTTGTGACATGATTGAGCTGCCCAGTTCAGGAAATGGGTTTACTTGGGGTGGAAGAAGGTATGATTTGTGGATTCAATGCAAGTTGGATAGGTGTTTTGGTAATAAGGAATGGTTTAAGAGGTTCCCTGCGTCTAATCAATTGTTTCTAGAGAAAAAGGGTTCAGACCATAGACCTGTTCTGGTCCAATTGTTTTCTTCTCAGGAGAAGTATAGAGGTTCCTTCAGATTTGACAAAAGAATGCTGCATCAACCGCTGGTGTTAGAGGCCATCACAAGAGCTTGGCAGAATCAGTATTCTCCTTTTGGTCAATCTGTCTCTGAAAGATTAAGGAGATGCAGAAAATCCCTGAGTTTATGGAAGAAAGAGAATGTTTCTAATTCTTTGGAAAAGATTCAAAGGATCCAGAAGGATATTGAGATTGAACATGCAGCCTTTGCTCCCTCTTTCTATAGAATGGCGTGTCTTCAGAGAGAAATGGTCAAAGCTCATAGGGATGAAGAAAGTTTTTGGAAACAGAAAAGCAGAAAGAAGTGGATGAACTCTGGTGATAAGAACACTAAGTATTTTCATGCATCAGTAAAAGCTCAAAGATCCAAGAATGGTTTAGACAAACTGATGGATGATGATGGGTTTATGCATAGATCTGAAGCCTCAAAAGGAGAGGTGGCCTGCAACTATTTCAAAAAGCTTTTCTCTTCTTCTTATCCTGTTGATCCCCATGATTTATTTGAGGGCTTTATGCCTAGAATTTCCCAGGATATGAATGAGCAATTAGTTGCGCAGGTTACTAGAGAGGAAGTCAGAGCTGCTGTTTTCTCTATAAAAGCTTCAAGTTCTCCTGGGGCTGATGGAATGACAGGGTTATTCTTTCAACAATACTGGGATGTGGTTGGTGATCAGGTGACGGTAGAGGTGCTCAAGTTTTTCAGTGATGGAGTTTTTGAGGAAGAGTGGAATTTTACACAGCTTTGTCTTATCCCTAATAAGGTCAACTCTCCGCTGATGTCTGATTTACGGCCTATCAGCCTCTGTTCGGTGTTATACAAAGTCATTTCCAAGATATTGGTTTCTAGGCTGCAACCTTTTTTGGCTGATATTGTCTCACCTTCTCAATCGGCATTTGTCGCTGAAAGGCTTATTTCAGACAATATTCTAATAGCTCATGAGGTGGTCCATGGTTTGAGAACCTTTGATGGTGTGTCTAAGGAGTTCATGGCGATTAAAACTGATATGTCCAAGGCTTACGACAGAGTGGAGTGGAGCTACCTTAGGTTTCTACTTTCTGCTTTGGGCTTTCATCAAAAATGGATCAACTGGGTTATGATTTGTGTCTCTACTGTGACGTATACAGTGCTAATCAATGGGCAAGCTTTTGGTAGAATTGTGCCACAGAGAGGATTAAGACAAGGAGACCCTTTGTCTCCTTTTCTTTTTGTTTTATGCACTGAAGGTCTTACACATTTGTTGAATAGGGCGGAACAAGCTGGGATTATTAATGGAATGCGTTTCTCTCCACAAGGTCCTTCTATACATCACCTGTTATTTGCTGATGACAGCCTATTCATTTGTAAGGCTGAGGAGGAACAATGTGTAGCCATTCAACATATTCTTCAGGTGTATGGTACTGCGACTGGACAGATCATAAACTTAGACAAGTCCTCTATCACCTTTGGCGCCAAAGTGGGGGAAAACATCAAAGTTTTGGTCAAAAACAGATTGGGGATCATGAATGAGGGTGGGGCAGGAACGTACTTGGGTCTTCCGGAGTGTTTCAGTGGATCAAAGAAAGACATGCTGGCCTACATTCATGAAAAACTTAAGAGTAGATTGTCTGGTTGGTTTGCTAAGACCTTGTCACAAGGAGGTAAAGAGATCTTGCTTAAATCTGTTGCGATGGCGATGCCGGTTTATGCCATGTCATGTTTCAAGCTTCCCAAAGGTACTTGTGAGACTTTGTCAAGTGCTATGTCTTCATTTTGGTGGAGTTCAGTAGAAAATGCAAGAAAGATTCATTGGGTGGCTTGGGATAAGATGTGCCTTACTAAACAGCAAGGTGGGCTGGGTTTTAAAGACATAGAGCTGTTCAATCAGGCTCTTTTGGCCAAGCAAGCGTGGCGGCTACTGCAGTCTCCTGACTGTCTGTTCTCACAATTCTTTAAAAGTCGTTATTTTGCAGATCATGATTTTTTGGAGGCAGTAAAAGGTACCAGACCCTCCTTTGCTTGGAACAGCATTCTGCATGGCAGAGATCTTCTAGTTCAAGGATTAAAACAGATGGTTGGTGATGGAAGATCCCTAAGGGTATGGACTAGTAAGTGGCTTGATGATCAGGGAAGGGGATTTATGAGGGCTCCTTTTATGAAAAATATTCTGGTCAATGTGGATCTCTCTGTCAATGATCTTATTGATCCTTCAACTAAATCATGGTATAGAGACAAGCTGGAGGACCTGTTTTTCCCAGGTGACATTGAGCTAATTGTTAAGATCAAACCGGTCACGTCATCTTCAGATTTCTTGTGTTGGAAACACAATAAGAGCGGTGACTACTCGGTAAGATCTGGGTATTGGCTGGCGTCTAAGCTTTACAAAGCTGATGATCTTCTTAGAGCTACAGCCCTGCCCTCTTTGAATGGAATTAAAGATCTGATTTGGTCTACTTTAGCGCCTACTAAGATTAAGGTGTTTTTGTGGAAGGTGGTTAGTGGTGCAATACCAGTTGCTGAGAGGCTTTTGTCTAGGGGTATGACAATTGATTCTAGATGTCAAGTTTGTGGTGGAGAAGGTGAATCAATTGATCATGTTTTATTTTCTTGCCCTCTTGCTAGACAGGTTTGGGCAGTCTCTAATATACCTTGCCCGGAAGATGGGTTCCAAGCTCACTCCATCTACCATAACTTACATTTTGTGTTATCCATGTGCAAGTGTTTAACAGTACCTTTGGAGATTCGCAGATTAGTCCCATGGATTCTTTGGTTACTTTGGAAAAACCGCAACAATCTTCTTTTTGAAGGCATGGTTTTCTTAGTTAAAGACATGATGGACAAAATCAGAGAAAGCTCCAGTGAATGGTTTATGGCTCAGCAAATTGATAGAGAGGCTGAAAAAAAGCAGGAGAGTGGTCTGAATCGACACAATGGGAAATGGAGACCTCCTGCTAAACCTTGGCTGAAATGTAATGTGGCCTTTTCTTGGGATAAAGATAAAAAGATGAGTGGTGCGGCATGGGTCTTAAGGAATTCTAGAGGGGCTGTCTTGCTACATAGCAGAAGGGGATATGCGGATATTGAATCAAAACAGGATGCAGAGATGGAAAGCTGGTTCTGGGCCATTGAGAGCATGAGAAGTCTGCACATTCACAAAGTTATTTTTGCAGTTGAGGGAAAGGATCTGGTGAATGCAGTTTCTAGACCTCGTGCTTGGCCATCCTTCAAATATCAAGCAGGTAGAATTCATTTGGTTCTGAGTCATTTACCTTTTTGGCAGCTTGTTCATGAAGAGAGAAAGGCTAACTTGGGTGCCTTCTTCATTGCCCAAAGTGTTACAAGCGAGGATCGTAGTCAATCATACGTAGCACAAGGCTACCCTTTTTGGTTACATGAAGTGTTCACTAATGAGAGTTGTGTTGCTTAGGTGTAATGCTCTTTTTGTCTCTGTTGGTGATTGCCCTTGATCCCTTTTGTAAGGTTTTATACCAAAACAGTTATATCGTTCTAATGCAATATTCAGATGAAAAAAAAAAAGACAATATAAATTGTTAATGCGTTTGCATGTGGCTTTTAAATTGTTGTAAATTAATAATTTGTTGGCAACATCAAAGGCCTAATACTTTTTTTTTTTTTTTATGGAAAACAGTTTACTAAATATAAATACAGATGCAATTAAACAATTACTGCCTAAAAATCATGTGTTTGGATTGGAGGACACAAATTGCATCAAAATTTCAAACAGTGAGCAATCATAATTTCTTTACCTCACAGGTGATCTGTTTTTCACGTTGACTTGGACTAAGTTTTCTCGAGTTCATTTATGGGTCACCAAACCCTATCGAGAGAACAAAGTCTTGCATTGTGAGTGAGAGGTATACGTTGAATGCATATAGACGGCAGCATTGACACGTACGTTACACACGCGTTTTTTAGTCAAATCACCACCTTTTGTCTTTTGGTTTATTTTAGTTTTTTATTGGTGTGAAGCGATCGTTATTTTCGGTGAAGAATTTTTCTTCCCTATGTTTGAAACTTTTCATTAGAAATAAGGGTTTGGTGAAGCGTTGACTCTTCAAGGTCTTTCAACTTATTTTATACGAGATTGTTATTTTTAACACTAGGACTCCGGACCCCCGCGATGTCTCGGGGAAAAATATTTCAAAAATCGTTTGAAAAAAATTAATAAAATAACGATGGTGGATGATTAAATGTTATAACGATTTATAAAATAAACCTAAAGTTTCAATTTTTCGTGAAATAAACTAAATGTTGCAATGGTTCAACTAAACGGTTGCAACCATTTTATAAAAAGTTACGATAAAAAGATGCAACCGTAAAAAATATTTACTCGGATTGCAACTTTCTTAAAACACATAACGTAAAATAATTTTTTTAGTTTAAAAAAATAAATGAAATATTGCAATATATCAAAGTTGCAACGGTTTGTCAAGTTTGTCAAATAAACTAAATGTTTCAATGGTTCAATTAAACGATTTTAATCTCATTTAATCTTTTTTCTGGAGTATTATACCATTTGAAACGGTTCATTTGACATTTTCCACATTTAAAGCGACCAACATATATGAAAAATATAGTAGATAGCCATATTGCTTGAGCTTGAGGATGTCTTCTCATATTTGGACTTTGTAATAATGTTCTAAATTTTGGTAATTAAATATTAAAAATATTAATTTATGAAAAGTCATACCGAGAGACTCGACGCTAGATAATTAGATGTTATAGCAATTTATAAAATAAACCAAAGGTTGCAATTGTTCGTGAAATAAACTAAATATATAAATCAAAGGTTGCAATCGTTCGTGAAATAAACTAAATATATAAATCAAAGGTTGCAATCGTTCGTGAAATAAACTAAATATTGTAATAATTCGAATAAGAGGTTGCAACTGTTTATGAAGAGTTACAATAAAAAAACGCAACCGTAGAAGACATTCGGATTGCAATTTTCTAAAGAACATACGCGTAAACTTTATATTTTAATCATACGAAAAAACACGATTTTACAACTATTCGATAAGTCCATTACGTAGACGAACGTGTCCGTTAAAGCTTTAATGTGTGGGGCTCATTTCACTCACGTATGTCCAAATTATTTAAACCTCTATATTATTGTTTTCCCATGATATCACGTAAATGTTAAATGAATGATA